AAAACGTTTTAGCCATTTGTGACTTTAATATGATATTCACGTTTATATGGGCTGGATGGGAAGGCATTGCACATGATTCTAGAGTTTTGAGGGAAGTTGCATTTAACCCAACTTCGGGATTTTCATTTCCTTCATCAAGTAAGTATCATTTTCTTAACATTAAAAGGTTATTATTAATCCATTTCTTTTAAGTTGTAGATGTAATTACAGATGAATATTATCTTTGTGATGCCGCATATACTTGTACCCGTGGATTTATGATTCTGTATCGCAATACGAGGTATTGGTTAGCAGATTTTCGACGTAGACGTGCATTAACAAAAGAAGAAATGTTCAATCATGCTCATGCACAGCTTAGAAATGTTATCGAGCGTGCGTATGGTGTCTTAAAAGCAAGATTTCCAATTCTGAAGCAAATGGCTCCTTATCCTTTTCCAATACAAAAAAATGTGGTGATTATTTGTTTCGTGATTCATAACTTTATAAGGAAATGCAATATTCAAGACCAATTATTCATAGAACACGATGACAACACCATGTTTACCGCCGATGAAGAACAACATGAAGGAAACAATGAAATAGAAGTCGATGAAAAACAGTGGAGTTCTCAAGACAGTGAATATATGACTAGTTTGTGTAATCAGATTGCAAATCAGTTATTGTCTAATGTTTCAAATTATGATTTTTGCGACAATTATTATATTTAAATTCAATTTATTTTCATGTCTAAATATATTTCAATTATGAAATTTGTATTTTTGTCATTTCAACAATTATTCATACATAATATTTGGTAAATAGTTGCATTAATTTCAACACTTTGTTACATATAGGGTTATAATGGTCATTTTATTATTAGTCAGCACCAAATCTAGAATACTTGGTAAACATATTTTCTACAAACAACACTTACTCCTGTCAGAGATGTTTACTCTAATCAGACCTCTTATTTCAAACAGCGCTTAACAACTATTGTTGGTAAGCGGACCCTTAGTTGTTACTGACTCTAGTAACACTAAGGATTCTCCTTTATCTTATTGTTCTGTTTATCAACGATTAACTGAAAGATTGGTTTATTTACTTGCAACCAGGCATGATATTGCCTTCTCTGTACATTGTCTTAGGGGTTGTTCGGTTTGTTTTCTGTCAAGACCTGTATGGATATAGTTGTCTGTATATTAACAGATAAATTGTTGTTCGGTTGTTGTGCTGAATAAACAGTCTGAATGTCAAAAATGATTATTTTACCTCCAGTCTTTGTTTTTGTGGATCAATTTTATTACATGAAATATCCATAACAAGAACAACAAGTAGATCAAATTAAACGTAAATTCAAAATATAAAGTTATTCGACTGTTGTACAATTTATAATTCAACAGTTCCTCATAGCAAACAGACTGCTGTACAATTTATAATTCAACAATCCACAAAGGGTTTGATTTTGATATCATAAAACACACAAATTCTTCTAAATTTGATGATTTTTTCTAATAATATTTCTTATACATTGTAATTTTCAATTGATATTTGTTTTGATTTACTGATTTTTACATGTCATCTATGTTTTTTTTTACTTTTTAAYATGTTTTAAACTAATAATTATAATMTTTAATTATTTGAGAAAAATATTATTTRATTAGTAACCCAAATAATTAAATAATTCAATTAAATTGAATTTCTTATTATTTTTTATAATGTTTATAGAAGATTTTTATGATTAAAACATATTTTAGTTATGGGCTATTAATTAAAACAAACTTGGGGGAAAAAAGAAATGGTAGATTTGGAATAAATGGTTGCATAAGTGGTTGAATCCATAGGACTCCCCTTTTTCTGGCTGACCGGTTAAGCCATCGGCTAACTGAATAAGCCAGAAGCGAACAACAATATATGGCTGACCGAATAAGCCATACAGACTTAACAGTCCATTAAGCCATTACCGAACAGCCCCTTAGCCAGTTTATGCATGCTCATAGACAATCTAATCTTAATCTTGCTCTTAGTATTTTAGATATCTAAAATCCTCACCTGGTAAAAGAATTAGCTTTACAAGGTCAGAATTTTTTTGTTTAAGAGCATATGTTGATGTTGATTGGGGTAAGTGTCTTTCTTCTAGACGTTCTGTTATTGGGTTCTATTTATTTTTAAGAAACTCTATGATTTCTTGGAAAAGCAAGAAACAAAGTACTGTTTCTCGTTCTTTTGTTGAATCCGAGCATAGAGTTATGGCTTCAGCCTCTTGCGAAATTATATGGGTTCTCAAAATTTTGTTAGACCTTGAAATAAAAAATCTTTTTCCTATTAATATATTTAGTGATAATAAGTTAGCAATTCAAATTGCTAATAACCCTGTTTTTCACGAACGAACTAAACATATTGAAATTGATATTCATCATGTTCGGAAACAAATTAGTAAAGGTGTTTTAAAGATTGAAAAATTTATCTCTTCTGAAAAAACTGCAGATATCTATACTATATTATAAAGGATTTGACAGAAACTCTTTCAAACCATTTTTTATGCATAAACTACTGTTTGCTGATGCATATTACTTGAAATTCAAAATCACAAGTAAATTGTTCGTAGGTACAACTTATTAAAGTTTTATTTTTGAATTTGTGTAACTAACTAT